GGCCAGCGTCACGCCCACTCCTCGCACCATTCGCTGGCCCCGTCGGGCGGGTCGAGCCAGCATCTGGCCGGCACCGGCGGCGGCGGCGGCGGCGGCTTCCATGCGGGCCGTGGCCCCGGCAGCACGTCGGCCTCATCGACGTCGCTCAGCTCGCTCGGCCTGGCGGCCGGGGGCTCCGGGCGCACGCACAGCTCCTCGGATCTCGTGGCCGCATATGGCGGGGCATCTGCCAGCGGGTTCTTCCAGTCGGACCCGAAGGCCCTCCGGTCGCTGCACAGCCAGATGGCCATGCGGTCGGCCGGGGCCGGATCGGTCGCCGGGCCCGATGGCCGGCGGTATGACCCGGCACGCGGCCTGGGCGCCAGCTCCCGGGCCCAGGACGACGACGACATCATCACCGACGATGATGATGATGATGACGATGAGCATGACGACGGGGCCCGGGGCCGCGGCATCGTCGGGGTAGATCCCGGCTCCGGGGTGCCCCTGTCCGACCATGGGGGCGTGCTCGAGGATGCCGGCGGCCTGGATCTCCCGGGGCGCGGTGGGCCCGGCGGGCCCGGCGCCGGGCATGGGCTCATGCGCGTGTCGTCCCTCTCCTCGGCCATGGGGTCATTGGCGATGGGCCCCGCTGCTGGTGGGCCCGGGGGCGGCGGCGCCGGCGGCCCGGCCCTCATGCTGGACACCGACTCGACCGGCGCGCGTGGTCGCCATCGGCCACATGCGATGCACCTCCAGCAGCACCATTCGCACATGCAGCATCTCCAGCAGCAGCAGCAGCAGCAACAACACTTCTCGGGCCAGCGGCAGCGGCCGGCTCATGCGCATTATCACCACTTGATGCAGTCCCCCGGGTGCGTTGTCCGGGCTTTTTGTCGCACATGCTCCGGCGGGTGGGCTGGGCCGCCTTCTTTTTTTCCCCCCCTTTTTTTGCGCCCCTCCTCGGGCACTTGTGTCTGCTCGCGTGCTGATCCGACCGTTTCCTGCTCGTCGCGCCTCCTCCGGTGCCACCTGCCCGTCCGTCGCCGGGGCTCCCCCCCCCCAGGACACACAATCGCCCAAGCAATGCCAGCTTCGGCAGTGACGTCGACATCGAGGCCCTGGACGACTCGGACTCGGTCCTCTCTCCGACCTCGACCACATCACCCTTGGCCAATGGCAGCGTGGCCGTTGGTGCGTACCCCTCCTCTTGCCCTTCCATTCCACATGCGACGTGCATCTTGCTGCGTGCATGCGTTTTTGGGCTAACCCTTCTTTTTCCTCCTCCCGCCCCCGCGCACGCACGCACGCACGCACGCACGCACGCACGCACGCACGCACGCACGCACGCACGCACGCACGCACGCACGCACACACGCACGCACGCACACACGCACACTTGGCGCCACAGCTGGCATCCCTCCGGCCGGACGCGCGGACGCGGCCCTCGCACGGCCCCCCTCGCAGGCCGACCTTCTGGCGGCGGCCACCGCGGCCAGCCTGCCCTCCTCGGGGGGAGGCGCGTCGGAGGTGGCCCCGGATCGCGGGGCCGCTGGCGGTGCCTTCCACCACGATCCCCACAGCGGCCGGCTGGATGACACCCTGGCCGAGGGCCCGAGCGATGGGGACGATGGGGATGATGATGATGGCGACATCGATGTGGGATCCGATGATGGGACTTCCTCGGGGTTGCGGCCGCCGCCCGGGCCGATTGACGTGGGCTTCGACCTGTCGCTGATGGTGGACGGGCATTTGCCGCTGCACCGGCGGCGGTCGCACCATTCCGAGGGGCAGATCTCGCCGTTGCCCGCCGGGGCCATGGTGGACCTGCGTGCGGCGTTGGGCCCGGTGTCGGCGGCCGGCCAGTCGCCCGGCGGGCCGCACACGCCGGCCGGCCTGCTGTCGACGGCGGTGTCCCCGGTGCCGGGGCCTGCTGGGCCGGCCGCTTCGAGCACCTTCTTCATCGGGGACGATGATGATGGGTATGACCATGCGGCCGATTCGCAAAGTGACCACCCCTTCGACGTGGGGGGAGACCGGGCCGGCATGGCCGAGGGCCAGCAGGAGGCCGAGGAGGCTGCCATTGCCGGCGGGCTCGCCAGCGACGGGTCGACCACCTTCCAGCCGCCCCCACCGCCGCCCCCGGCGCCGGATGAGAAGCTGGCCGCGGCCGAGGAGGCCGTGACCCAGGAACGCGCGCGGGTGGCCCGGCATGCGGTGCGCCAGGGGCGCTGGTGGATCCGGGCCATGTCGGAGCTTCCGCGCGGGGGCAATGCCCCCTTGCGGCGGTATGTGGCCGAGGCGCTGTTCGACTCCGGGAGCTGGGGCTGCCCGAAGAGCACCATGCACCGGGCGGTGTCGGTGCCGGACTTCCACCCGGGGACCGGGGTGCCGGTGCCGGTGACCGGGTCGGTGCACTTCCCTCGTACGAGCAGCATCCGGCCGGCATCGACCGCGGCGGCGGCCATCCTCGGGCTGTCGGCCGGGGGTGGCCCGGTGCGGGCTCAAACCGCCCGTCCCAAGCGCGCCCTCCAGCGGGCGGTGGATGACACCCGCGAGGGGGCCATCCGCCAGTTGCGCGCGGCGGCGGCGGAGATGCGCGCGGCGGCGGCGGAGATGCGCGCGGCGGCGGCTGCGGCGGCGGCCCGGCGCCTTGCCACCACGGCCGGCAGTGGGGGCGGCGCCTTCGCCGGCGGCGATGCCGAGTCCGGGAGTCGACCCCATGCAGCCGAGGCGGCCGCCTCGCCGCCGGTCCATGCGTCGCCGGATCCGGTCGTCGGCGCGGAGGGTGGTGCTTTGGTGCCGGCGCGGGCACCCGGAGCCGGGGGCATTTCGCCCTCCGGCGACAAGGCCCATGGTGCTGCGGTGGCGACTCCTCCCCTGGCGGGGACAGTGCCGTCGGGCCCGGCGCCCGAGCATCCCTCTTCCCAGGCATCGCAGCAGGCATCGCAGCAGGCATCGCAGCAGGCATCGCAGCAGCCACGCACGGGCGGCTCGCCGTATTTGGGCCCCGGGTCGCCGGTGTCGGCGCCGGTGCTGGCGCCAACGGCCACCGTGGTCCGGTCATTCTTGACGGCCGAGGCCAGTGCCCCGGCCCAGGCATCCGGTCCCTCGGTTCAGACGGCGGCCGGCCAGGCATCGGCGGCCGAGCCGCCTGCCCAGCAGCCGGAAGCCCCGCCCAAGCTGGCGGGCATCTACCACCCCCCGGGGTCGCAGCCGCAGCCGCAGCCGCAGCAATCCGGCAGCGGCGGCGTGGGCACCAGCGGCCGGCATTTCTCTCACGGGTCGACGACCTCGCCACTGCACCAGTCGGTGGTGACAATGTCCTCGCCGGAGGGCGGGGCTCTGCACGCGCGGGGCAATGCCAATGCCATCACCTCGATTTCGTACTCGCCGCCGCCGCAAACCGGCGGGTCGACTTCCTCGCCGTCCTCCTTGTTGAATTCCTCGTTCAGCTCCTTCATGCGGTATTTCCACTCGTCGGGCAGCTCCAGCAGCACGGCCGGGGCCAACGCCGCCGCCGCCGCCGCCTCCTCCGGATCGGGGTCTGGCGGCCATGCGCACAAGCCGTATGGCAGCCAGAGTGCGGCGTCGAGCGTGACCGGGTCGCCGAATCCCACGGCCCCCGGCAGTGGCGCCGGATCGCCCGGGATCACATCGCTGTCGGCCGGGCCGAGTGCGCATGGTTCGCCGAATGCCGGGCGGCTGGCCGCCGGGGCAGCCGGCGGCCCGGAGCACCTGGGCGGCGGGCAGTTCCCCCGGTCGGGTCGGTCGAATTCCACCAACACATTGACCTATTCGGATGGGTCGCCGATGCCGAGCGCCTCGAGCTCGGACCTGCTTGCCTCGCTGGCGGCGGGACTGGGGTTTTCCTCGATCTCGGTGTCCTCGACGCCCTCCTCCCCGGCGACCGGCGGGCCGGCGACCGGTGGAGGGGCTGCCGGGCACCATCCTCATCATCATCATGGGCATGCGCCGCATCTGCAGGTGCCGGCGGCGGGTGCCGGCGGCGGCGGCGGCGGCGGTGGCCGTCACCAGCGCTCGGTGTCCGCTTCGCAGGCTCACCACTTCCCGTCGTCCGTGGGCCCCCCGGGGTCGGCCTCCTCGCCGCTGGAGGGGGCCGAGCAGACGGCGGCCAATGCGGCGCGCGACTCGCCGGAGGGCTTCTTCTCCGGGTCCGGGTCGATGTCGCGCCTGGGCAGCGGCATTTCCCACGCCAAGACCATGCTCTCGCTGTCGACCCTGGGCGGTGGCGGGGGCGGCGGCGGCGGCGGCAGCAGCGCCGGGCCGGCGGGTGGCATGTCGCCCGGGGCTGGCCCTGGACCTGGGACTGGGGCTGGATCTTCCTCGTCGGGTGGTGGGTCCTCGCGGCTGATCCAGCCGCCGGGCGGCTGGTTCGGCACCGGGTCCCACAGCTCGGCGGCCATCGACCGGCAGCAATTCCAGCGGTCGTATGAGCATGTGTACTTGCCGCGGTCGCGGCCGGCGGCTCCGGCGGCGGCGGCCAGCGGGCGCCAGCCTACCATGCCGTCGGCCGCGTCGAACTTGGACATCGCCGGGAGCGGGGCCGGCGGGGCGCCGGGCTCCGGCCCGGTGGGCGGCCCCGTGCCCGGGAGCACCTCGCTCACCCGTGTGGTCAGCTCGCCGGCCCTGACCGGGCCGAAGACCACCGGGCTGGAGGACTTCAGCATCATCCGGCTGCTGGGCAAGGGCGATGTGGGCCGGGTGTTCCTGGTCCAGCGGACCGGCACGCGGCGCTTCTTCGCCATGAAGGTCCTGGAAAAGCGGGACATGCTGCGCCGTGGTCGTGTGCGTTCTTTCCTCCCTCTCTGCCTCTTGGTCCTTTCCTGTGTTTGCTGTTTGGCCGTGTCTCTGACAAGTCTCTCTTTTGCCTTTTCTCTCTTTTGCCTTTTCTCTCTTTT